TCCTCTCTGTGGCTGCTGAAAGCACTTTGAAACAACTTGCATTTCTGAGGCTTTAGTTTCCCACTGACAGTCTGGCAAGACCTACTGACGACTACATCAGCTGCACAAAGGTGTTATCATGTACTGAGCAAATAGACAAGAGTAACAGGCAGTGTGACAGCCTTCATACAGCTCTCAAACACAGCAACTAAGTTTCATAAAGCCTGATGTCACTGCTCTGTACTGCTACGGGGGTTTTAGACCAAGAATTTTTCCCTCTCCACTGAATTCCCTTCTACTGACCAATATCAGATTCAAGATCCAGCATCAGAAATCAATGCTGCAGGAACTCTATTATAACATCTGATTATTAAGTAATATGAATCTTAAAAACCATTCCATGGCTCACACAGGCTTTTTCTCTTTGCCAGAAATACTGACAAAGCCCAAGACGTGACTGGAGGTTCAGTTACTGTTCTTGATGCATTCTTGTAGTGGCTGGTACAGCCTCTTTCTTCCTCACTGCTGGAGAGGAGTCTGTTCAATGCTCAGTGTCACACACTATTAATATTACATGGATCAATGGTGAAGGGAAGGAAAACTCAGCTTCTCTCTTTATTGGTTCAGCAAAACCACTTTTAGTTCCCAGCATAAGTGGGGAGACTACTCTGAGACTATGTATTTGTAGAATAATATGAATGGAATAAATGTAATAGACAGTGTTCAAACTCATTTTCATCCTCTTTTCCCTGCAGGTTTTTTTGTTCCATATGACTAATGACTAGAACTAGTTGTTTACTTTTTTCATCCACAGCTGCCATTTTATTATTTATTCTCAGCCAATAATATTCAGCACAGGAAGAGGTATCTTTTTTAGATCCACAATGAAGTCCCCATCAAATCATTTATTCTCCCTGGGCCTTTATCAAGTTATCACAGCCTGTAGCTGCATTAACTTAAAGGCAAGATAAATCATTCACTGGGAAGTAGCTTCCTACAAATGATTTATTGCACCAGTGCCATTTTTGAACAGAATGGCCCAGACTATATTTATTTTGTCATGATTACAGGAAACATGTCAAGGTACTCGCATTTTTTAAAAGCTGAGATCATATGATGGAAAGCTGCTCCAGATCTGACACCAAAGAATCAAGAATGCACCAAAAGAGAGAAATTTCAGTTCTGTAACAGTCCAATATTTTAACTGAAGAGACTGCTTGTGCACACACAGCTGCTGTGCTGAGGTTTTTCTGGGTCTTGACCCAAGCCTATCTGCAGTTTAGAGCAAGAGAGATACAGATCAATTGCCTTTTTTTTTTCCTGAAACTGCAGTTGTTTGGGAGAAAGACTTAGCAAACCTGAAATTTTTACAGTTATGTTGAATCTGCAACTTTTCATCCTTTGTCACTGAACTTCTTCTACTAAGCAGTCTAAAGACAAACTTGAGTATTCTTCTTCATCTAGTGAACAAAGCTGAGCTGTATGCAATTCTCTGGTGGTTCCAAGCTTGCTAGTGAGTTTCATTAGATGTTTGTGATGGCCTGACATATTTGTAGCAGTCTTTGGTTCAGTATTTGATTTTCTGTGCTAGCTCTTAGCCAGTCTGCTCTCTTTACTTCTGAATTTTTATATGTTCTATGATGTATATATGCGTAATTACACAGGCAGCATAATTATATTTTGCTTGATTATATGTGTCCCCTTCTTTTCTTAATCATCACAGACACCCGACAGTAATTCCGTTTCATTCAGGTCTGGGAGACACAGAGCAGCACTCAGCTCTCAGCTTCCATCATTCTTGGCAGCAGCTGCCTCAACATCTGATGTGCAACTACAAGCAAAGCCCCACGCTGCTTGGTGTGTTCCTGCTCATTGCACCCTTGGCCTAATCGAGAGCTGCAAGTACAAGCCTATAAAATGATCTGTCACCAGTTTATCCAGAAAAACCTCCTACGGGCATGGGTTTGATAATACAAGGTTTCATCAGTCCAGACATGGCTTCAGTGCTCTTTTTATTTCTCTTTCTTAGCCACAAGATATCCAGCTGAGATTTATGACTAGAGCTTCAAATGTGAGATTTCTGGACAAGTATAATTCCCCCTCAGCTTCCCCCACCTATATTTTTCTCTACTTAACAAGAGGGAAGTTGAGGTACAGAAAAGTGCTGTAATTTGTCCAAAGGATGACAGAGGCAGAAACAGAATCAGCGACTCCTCATTCTTAGTCCAGTTCCCCAGTCCCATGGGCACACTGGTAAGTAGGTGTTCATATGCCCATAATAACTAACCTCCTAGAGTGAAATCTTCAAAGTAATTTTAAACACTGAATAAAGTGATTGATAAATTATTAAATAGTTAATTAACAGTTATTTTTTTCCTATGTCAGCAGGGTCATAGCCTATTGCTTACTTCAATAGTTTGTAAATATGGGTAGTGAATCTAGATACAGAAACAGAAAATATCTGAAAAGGGAATCCAGTGAAGCACTGCTTAAACAATGTATTTCTTTGGCACTTCCAAATCCCCATAATCTAATTATACCTCAATAGTAGACCTGGGGAGTAGGACCAGGATAAAAGAAAATAATGGAAATAAATCAACAGTATTAACAACCTCTGTAGAGAGCGAAAAATTTGAGGCTGGTCAGTGGTATCTTTTGAAGTCAGCATGGGCTTTGTTTTACAGAATCACAGAATAACAGAATCTGCTGAGTTGGGAGGGACTCACAAGGACCATCGAGTCCAACCCCTAAACCTTCACAGGACCATCCCCAAAAGTCACATTATGTGCCTGCGAATATCATTCAAACGCTTCTTTGAACTCTGTCGGGCTCCTTACATGCATGCTGCCTTTGTGCCAGTTTGAGTGGTTCTCGGAAAAAAAAAATTGGTGTTTTCTTGCTTCATGTTGTTATTGAGAGAATTTCTATTTCCCTTTTAAATTAAGCAATACAGTAAATGCCTTCTTTTTCAACTTTCTATGAAAAAAGTAAATACACAATTTCAGGGAGAAAGCACTTGCGTGTCTTATACCAATGCAATGATTCTCCAGGTCTCCATAGAGCAAAATTTTTTCTCGCTTCACTGCTTAGCAGTTTGCAAGGTTTGCAACCCGCAGTTTGCAATATGAGTTTCCAAGCACTGCAGTCAATGCCTACAAATACTTCAGTCTTGTACCAGTAGCTCAGACCCTAAGGTGTTTCAAGTCTCAAGTCTAACTCAATTACTCTCCTGGTAGTCCCCTGGATCTTTTTTGAAGCCCTTGTTAAAAACAAAGAAACAAACGAAAACCAAACCAACTAACAAACAAAAAAACCCCTAAACCAACAAAAACCCAAAGTCGTCACACTTACTGTCTTCCATAGTGCCAAGACAATTTCAAGAGTATGTTACATTCTCCATTCAGCTGTGCAGAAATTATATATATTTCAATTTTCTTAAAGTTCTTGGGTGAAAACCCACTGTCTTGATGCTTTTTCAACATTAATTTAAACACCTTGTTCTAAAGCTGTTTGACTGATGGTTTAACTGGAGATGATGGACAAATTTCTCATAAGGAAAGGAACACTCCTAAGCTCATTTGGATGAACACTGATGAAAATAATTCATTGGCTTTTCAGCTAGAGAGTCATAATTTTTGTGCTATCCTCTAATGACTCGGTCATACATTAACCTGTAGACTCAATGGTAGCCATCGTCTTTCTGGTGCACTTGAAAAAAAGTCACCATTAGGACAAATGCTTCTAGAAATTTGTTCCCCTAATCTGTTATTTTTTCAGTCTGTCTTACAGCTTTTCATTTCCTGTGTCTGTGCTTTTCAGCTTAAGTTTTTGGACAGTGTTTTCATTATTTTTAAATAGCCTCCTTTATTCCTCTGTTTTACTATTACAGAATTTTCATGTCCCTTCACATTGCCTTCTGAGTCTTCATTATAGTGTCTCTATAGTCTTTATGCAAAGTATTTTAGCCTTTGAAACTGACCCTTGAAATTTAATTTTTGCATGGTTTTCCATTAATGAGTATTTTTAATGTATTCAGTGTTACTTGCAAAGTTGCGGTTTTTTCGGAGTACGTCACATATACCATTTATAATCACTGTAACAAAGGGCTTCCTCCATAGTGTCTCTGGTGCTAAGTCTTGGTGCCTTTTTCAGGAATACATCAACAGGTGTTTCCCATTTTGAGAAGAGTCAGAGAAAAATTTCTTCAGAACAGCAGCTGTTCATGTTTTCAAAAAAATTGGTCCCTACCTCATAGCTTCCTCATGAATCTTTACATCCTTCTTGAAAGTACTTACACTGTGTCTGTGTTTGGAGGAAAACACTGAATATCACATAAATCACAGTGAAATCACAGAGGTTGCCAACACTGTAGAACAGGAATGATGAGAAGCTCTATGATAACACGATTGGTGGGACTGCAGGTGCTGCTAAAGCTGTTGCTGTTCTCTAGAGAATTATGCCAAGAAGAGAAAACTTTTCAGTCTTTAAACAACATAAGATTTTGTTGCTGTTGTTACTTGAAACCATTTACAAAGCTTTGATAACATATGAAGTAATAACAAGAGGAATACTGAATATACTTTCATCTCATGATTTTTTCTTTTACTGATAAAGGTTACTGATAACATCATAGGACAGCAGAGGGGAGCAGCTGCTTACTGCAGTTGTGTGCCCAGTCAACAGCCTTCATCAGTCTTGAGCTACCTGGAGGTTTTGCCAAGTTACAGTCTGAGCAGAGGTGCTAAAGCCAGAGAAAGAACTCTGCTCTGCTGGCTGGTTTTGATAGTTTTAATGGGAGTGGGATTTGACCAAGACCTAACTGCACATATTTAGGAGGAAGTAATCATCAGCATTTAGAAGAAATGGTAGCTATAAAGTTCAAGAAGTTAATAGAGATCAAATGGTGCAGGAATCTGTTTTATACCAAGGTGTATGTGGCTCTCCAAGGGGTAGGGAACAGCTGTCATTCCATACAGTTACCTGCACATAACAGCTATATCAATGTTTTTAACCTTTGACAGATTAAGAAGACAGCAGGACCAAGGTGGACAGACTTCCAGCATTGACAGCAGAGCATCACTTCAGAGCCACGAGAAACTCCAAGATGGACGAAACAACAATTTGCTGGGACACGGCTGCACAAGAGGCTGCAGCAGCTAGTGAGCTACAACCCCATGGAGCACATGCTTCCACGCGGGCAGGGGGAGGGAAGGTCCTCTCTGTGCACACCTTCACCACATGGATCCTGGGATGTCTGACCCCTCCAAAAGCAGGATTCCCAGCCAAGGACAAACCCACACAGCACAGCGGCTGAGATTTTCCACATACAACTCTGCTCTTTTGACTCTGCCACTGGAAAAATGACCATCAGCAGCAAAATACAATTTTTTAAGTAAGTGTGACTTTCGTTTTCAAAATCCTGGAAGAAAACTTGAAACAATTCATTGGGCAGCCTCTCAAAGATTACCGCATTCCTGGCTACTTGCAAGAGACAACCTTATATTGGGGCCAGACATATCTTGAAGGCTTTACGTTACCCCCTCTCTCTCAATTAATTAAAATGGTCCAGCTTGGAATTTTGTGAAACTGCTGGACACAGCTGTTTCTGAGCACCTCCTGTTGAGTTTATAACAGATGTACATGATGTAAATACATGAATGTATTGTCAAATAGGCCAAACACTGGCTAATTTCATTCAAATTCCTGAAACTCATTGAAAAAGTTGCAGCCTGAGTGTATTCACACTGTTCTTTAACATCTTGTGTTCTGCTTTGTAGTAAAAGATGTGACCCAGGCCAAGTCAAAGTTTTGATAGTGACTTTAGTGGATGCAGGATCAGACACATTAGTTATGTATGGTAACATGGCAAAGAAAGACCTTTCTATTTGTAACAACAGGCTTGCAGAGCCAGAGTTGAAAAGCAACTTAGTAAGGAAAGCTAAAAACATTAGGAATTTGCTCAGATCCATAATTAGGTGTTATAAAATGTGAAAAAGTTACATTTGTCTCTGTTTTCAGATCTATTCTGGATAACAAATATCTTGAATAGAAAGAAACATACTTTAGTCAAAATATTGCTGACATGAAGTCCTTTTTTTTTTTAAATGTCACCCACAATTCCAAACCTTTGTGGTATTTTACAAATTGTGCATCTACATTTTGATAATAAATGCATGTTAATTCTGTCCTATTGTCCTTTTATTTTGCAGAGTTACCATCTGTAGGCAAATTTCATTTCAACCTTTTAAAAAAATAAGTTATGCTTTTGGGAGTGAAAAGCATTTTATTTGTAATAATCTATTTTTACCATATTGTTTCCATTCTATCTTTTACAAAACAAAGTTCTTTGTAATTGAATCTATTTTGAAATTTTGTTTCACATTATATGTAATTCTGGTCACAATTTTTTCACAAATACAGATTTTTATTGCTCCATGAAATGATATGGTGTTCCTATTAACAGCAAGCAGTTTACAAAGGTACTAAGGTAAAGATTTTACATCTGTCATAAGCATGGTGTTAGTCTACTTGTTTAATTTGGGCATAGACTGGAATAATCATAAAATCAAGCAAAGGAGTAGAATTTCTCTGGTCGTAAGAGGACAGACTTCATTGCCTAGAATAAACTGTTTCATGTCCATCCTTTCTTATAATGACTTTTTTTTTTATTTTCTTGGCATTGGTTTCCTTTGGGAAGGACCAAAGTGGATAATATTTCACATAATTTCTGAAAACACCTATTGTCCTGTTCCAATCAAAATGCATTATGATCTTGGACCTTGAACTGGATCTTGATCCTGGAAAGAAAATGTTTATTTACTTGACTAATCCTACAGAAACTAATGTGACTACTCATAGGTAAATGTTTGCAGGACTCAGGTTATATAGACTAGAGCCATGGAATGTTTGTAAGCAGGACCACTAATTTATTGAAATTTTCCATGTACATTTTTCCAGTTGGAAAAACAAGGGGAAAAAAGGCAATTGCACATTTGCTTTACTTTCTGTGATTACAGTTATTTTGAGCAAAAGTTGTTGTGGGTGATTTTGTACAACATCAACCACATAGGATGTCACTATGCTAGCACCTTAATTTAGGCTGGGAAGGCATTTTTGAAGTTAATGTCTCAACTTTAAAGCCCTACTACATTTTAGTACATATTGGATCATCCGAATCAGATGCTTTTTGGATGATACAAAACTAGAAGATGTGTTCCAAGAGAGCACTAAGGCCATCTGCCCAGCCTTGGGCTTATAGACCACAGAAACAGGTGAGAAAAGATCTGAAATGGAACTTCCCCAAATGTGGCTCATGTGGATGTGAGGTCGGCATTGCCAGCCACTCTGCAGAGCCACTTCTGTCCTGCTGCACTGCCAGCTAATGAACACACAGCCCCCAGGAAGCCTGGGTTTATAGAATGAAAAGTTTATAGAATGAAAGATCCACAGCCTTTAGAGTGTAAGAAGTTCATTGGTGACTGCATTAAAAATTGGAGGAGTTTCCTGCAGATAGAATTTAATTAGCAGCAGGATTCTACCAAATATTTGCAGTCTGATCTGGCTGTTGCTGGGTGTCTTTGCCAATGTTTTACTAAGCTGCTTTTGAGAGCAGTCTGGTTATTCAATAGATTGCATCTACTTAAATATATTTGCACAGAGTATTGTGCATGAATGCAAGCTCACTCAGACACTTTAATTTCATGCTTGTTGTCACACAGTCATTTCTCAAACAACTCTACTGATTGCAAAAAAGTGAAATCACAGCACCAATCAGCTTTATCCACAGTTCATGGCACTTCCACTGACTGCAAACTGTACCTTTTGCTGCATATAATTATCTGTGTCAACTCGCATATAATTATCTTGTCCAGCTATACCATGGACAAGCAATACTGAATCAAAGAATCACAGAATGGTTTGGGTTGGAAGGGATCTTTGAAGATCATTCAGTCCAAATCCCTGGCAATGAGCAGGGACATCTTCAACTAGATCAGGTTGCTCAGAGCCCCATCCAATCTGGCTTTGAATATTTCCAGGGATGGGGCATCCACCACCTCTCTGGGACACCTACACTCTTATTTCATTTCTTCTTTTGACCAACATAGCCGTAAGGATCTGGAATGTCATGGGAAGCCCTGAAAATTGTTCAGAAGAGGACAAATAGAGGTCATTCTGAATAGTATGTGATTTGTGAGGACAGAACACATACTACAAGAAAAGTCACACAGCCTGGGAATACACTTGAGAAATGTTTGGTGGGACTTGTCTCCCTTAACTTTAGACATAAGAAACATGAGTTAGCCAGATCCAGGCTCAAAAATAAAGATGAAAAAGGAAAAAAAAACTTTTAAGACGTGGTGCACTTGCCCTGTCTTGACTGTCTGTTTTAGCAGATGGTTCTCTCTGTAGTTCTGCCTCCATGGAGTACAACATCAGTGTGCACAGCTCAGATGTGGGCATGCACATTGTGCATTGACCTCTAGTCAGATGAATTGCGTTTGTAATGGCACAGAAAACTTGTGGACATGCAACCTAATCCTTATGAAAAAATGGGAACATTTCTGATCATTTCAGTGGGAGTAAGAGAGATTTAAAATTTTCATCCCTACATGCAAAAGTGGTATTATATAAACAAGAAATTACACAAACATACTCTTGCCTTGCTTTCCAGCAGAAATGGAAACAGGGAGGGGTACCTAAATAAGACATAGAAGGTTTTTACAAAATACTTATATGGAGGAGAAAAAGAAAGAGGGGCAGTCATAAAACCAAAAGAAACTCCTTGGGACTCATTTATTCCATACAGCTTTATTGTCTTGCAAAAACAGCCAGTGATCTTAACTCCCAAAGTCTCATATGGTTTCTTCAAGTCATTTCAAGGATAAAAATATTTTTTCTCATTTCTGTTCCAAGGAGGAGGGAAAGAAGTCTAACACAGCTGGAAAAGCAGTTTGCTTCTACCACAGTTTATTACAGTGCCTCTTCCTCTGTGGTGCTGCAGTCCTGATCACACATGGGCGTTCCCACAGCATCACTCGGCATTAAACTCTGCCAGATTTACCTTCTGTTCAGTTTGCTCCTTCTACATTGTGTATTAAATACTGGCACAGTACTGTAAATGTTTAATTACCAACTGTCATAAAGTACACATGGCTGCTTTCATCTGTAGTCTTGAAAAAAATGATTAATGTAATATTTCCAGAAGATTTTCCTGTAGATTTGGGGGAATCGAAGGGTTGGTTATAGATCTTGGCACACTATTCAGAATGACAGCAAAGTATATAATAGAGGAAATACTAGGCACCAATCCATCCATTCCATTCATTTAGATGTTTTCTGCTTACAGAGACACGTGATCATTACTTCAAACTTATTTCTGACAGTTTAAACTAAACCTATATATTGGTGTAATGGGAGGTACTGAGAAGCTGCAGTTGGCTGAATCAGACACAAAGCATTTTTTAGTTTTCCAGGTGGTTAGGTGTGCTAACACTTCTGCTATGAAAAAAATTGACTGCCAACACAGAAAAAGCTTAGAGGTTTTGAACAGGTCTACAGTTTTGGTGGGAGCTGGAAAGCAAGGAGATATTCAAAGTGTATTAATTAAAAAACCCACAGATATCATCTGGTAGCCTCACTGCTCTAGTTTCTGCCCCCAAAAGAGACCTGGAACAAACCAGAAATCCTGCAAATAATCTCCATTATTTCTATATTTGACCCAGATTTCATTCATGGCAGAGCAAGTTCCTCTATGCAGACTCTGATTAAGAAGTAAGGAATGGCAAGACCCCACCTGTCAGCAGTGCTGGGCTGCTCAGACTCTGCCTTTTAGTGCAGCACAAGGGACAACAATTTACAGCACCTGCTGCAGCCAAAGTCATCAGTCCTGCTAGGAAAAGCAGGAATTATTTTTTCCTACATATCAGTTACAGTTCAGTCTCTTAGCACATGTGGTAAACTTTGAATGAGGGATGATGTAAAGCTTTTAGAGATCCTTCTGCTGCCACACAAAAACTTTCATGATAGATTGTTGTGATTTTTAAACAGGAGCTTTGTGCTCCTGGAAAGCATGCTAGTTCATCTTCTGGAGAGCATGCTAGTAGCTTAACTACTGATTCCTTATGCATATTGTGCTTAATCATCTCAGCTTCCATCAGAGTAGTTACATCTGTTTATCTGTATTTTAATGATTGGATCAGCTATGCTCTGGCCAGCAGGGAAAAATGGTTT